TTTTTTCGTTTCCCTTGTCAACCCTTGGATGTCCGGTCACTGGAGATTCAACTGCACTGACAAATAAATCGTGTAACACCGAGGTGTTCAGTAAAATAATAAAATAAAATAAAATGATTATGTCTATACATTTGATATGTTCTTGAAGAAGCCACTATTTAACTTTTGGTTCACAGCATCTCGACTAAACTCCCAAAACAACGGCCGCCATTTCCAAAATTTCATCAAAGGTTAAACCATCCTTTGGTAAATTTTTCTTCAGCCAGTTGGTTCCCTTTGCTGCAACCATTTCCCATTCATCTTTTTGATTTGGGAACTTTCCATTAAGACAAGCTAAAGCCAAGGCCGTAGCCCACAGAGTATCCTTGTCTCCTGTAGTTAGCTGTGATGGACAAGTTTTCCTGAGGTCGTCCAATTGGGTCCCACAGATACTGGCCAACTCTCTAGTAAGTTCCCACGCCCCTGAAGCTTTTTGGAGGGAAACGATCTCAAGACAACTTTTTTGCGTTATTGAAGCCATGGTGTTGCCTTGATGGWCGCCCTTACAAGGTACTTGAAAGGACGCTGCCCCGATCTCTGCTGAGCCATAATCATAGTGATCACTCATCGTACAGCAATCGTATTCTTCAATTCCTGGGTCGTCATCAGGGTCGCCATGAGGGACGCTGAACTCGTGGCAGAAGGATGCTGCCCCGACCTCTGCTCCTCCATAATAGGGACTATCAATACAGTAATCTACCATTCCTGGTAGATTACTACTGTCGTAATGTCCGTAATCAATTTTATCTAGTTTYATTCGTTTCGATCTTCTTGATAGAGTTTTTGGACGAYGTCTTTTTCGTGCTCGGTATACGTACTGATGTCTCGGTGCAACAAGTGATGCAGCAACAGGCTGCTTGCTTTCTTGGTCCACCGCAACAAACGATGTCAGTTTCGATGCAATGTGGGCTGATTTGCTCATTTTCATGATGTTCTCCCTTGTAGCATCGTTATCGGCGTCTTGCTTCTCTTGGATGAAGGTTTTTGCAGCCAGTCGATGAAGAAGCTTGCTGTCGTTGGTAGAATTAAGGCCGTCCAGACCGACTTTGTGCTTGATTTTTCTATCTGGCGATCCCACTGCCAAATCACCGCTGACAGTGACATACCCCTTGACACTTGCATTACCAGACACCAAGCCATATACGATAAGACTGTTACCACTGAAGATGGGTGGTAGTACGTGTGGGATAGTTTCGACACTGCATCCTTCTGAAAGATCCCAAGACACTTCACAGTCGAGAAGAGCAGGC